GCTGGGCTCTTGGCCTGGGAGAGAGGGGCTGAGCTTACACACACATGGACACACGCGCTGTGAGCTTCCCCGGCTTCCCTCGGCAACCCTCTCCTGATTTCAAACCATCTCCCCTTCGATGAGTCACCTCCTCTGTCAGCCCCTTCCTGGGAGGAGGAGGAGGAGGAGGCAAGAAATCAATATTCCTTGCCTATCAACTCCATTATCAAATCAACTGGCATCAGGCCCCCGAGGCCACAGCCGATCATTCCAAAATCCCCAAACCCCATTTCATTACAGTTAAAAGAACATTTCCTTTTAATCACCCCAAAATATTTCTGAAGAGGAAGACATAACTCCTGGGGAGAAAGCCAGGTGGTGGGTGTTCATGGAACAGTGTGGCCTCGGGGATATTTGGGGGGCCGCAATAAGCATAGCCCTCTGGGTGACCAACCAAGGACTGCATCTTGCAGGAGAGTGAGCCACAGTTAGGGAGAAACAGTGCTGCAGACAAAGCCACTGAGACTGACATCTTGTTCAGCCCACGTGGGCCACACTGTGTCCACCCCAACCATTTCTTTGGAAGAGGCCTCAAAAACCCTCCGAGGGCACAAGCAGGAGCGTGGGGAGCAAGGGTGAGTACACAGAGCCGCTCTGCTCCTCTGCTCCATGACCTGAGGATGTCTCGGACTCCACTGGCCTGCTCCTCTCTCTCCTAGGTCTGCGAACACCTCTGCAATAATGACAACAGGCAGAGGGGCCTGGGAGCACTCACCATGTGTCAGCCTCTTTCCTTAAATGTTTTGTGTGAGTCTTTTCATTTTACAGACGAGGAACCACTCATTCAAAGAGGTGAAGCAATTTGCCCCATGTCACACAGCCAGAAAGACAGAGAGCTGGGACTTAAGGTTGGGAAGGCCCAGGGAGACTGGTCCAAGCCTTTGAAGCCATCCGTAAATGATGAGGTTCAACAAGATGATTCCTGGGCTTCCCTTTGGATTCAGTTGGCTGACGAGTCTTCCATGACACATACTAGGATTTGGCTTCTAAATTCACTCCTTCTAAATGCCCCAAACCCACCAACAAATACTCAGGTATGCTGTTTTTTATGTTATGCAGGGGATGAAGTTCTGGCCTGTCAGGGGCCCTAGCCTACCTGACACAGATATAGTGCAGCTAGGACACAGCAGAATTAGACACATGGCATAAAAGATGATAGAGTCCAGAGACAGAAAATGTGGAAGAGAACATGGGCAACAAGAGCGAGGGCAGTCGCAGTGACAATGCCCAAGTAGGGCTCAAAGTGCAGGCATATTGGGTAGTTAGAAGGAAGGACACTTTCAGTGGTCAGGAATGGGTGGGTCCAAGCAGTGTGAACCCCCTCACTGGAAAAGAGTTGTTATCTTGCATTAGGAGGTGTCAAGCTGATGAAAGAGCTGTCAGTGGGGCACCCTGGTGAGGGCAAAGCCAACCAACCCACATAATAGAAGGTGAGCCAGATGGGCAGAAGGAGATAATATCACCTGAGCGGCTGGACACAGCCATGCCTGAAGCAGGTCACATGAGCCAATTCAAGTTCCCTTTTGTGTAAGTGGGTTCCTGATGAGTTTTTCCACACATAATACTAGAAGAGGCCTGCTTATTATAGTAGACAGTGTCCCCAGATACCCTGCTTACTGAGATACTGGGAAAATCCACTGAAGATTCAAGGATCAAGCAGTTCTCATCCTATACTTGGCCCCAAGGGGCATCTCCTTGCCTCCAGGTACTAAACACAGAAACACTCACTGAATGTATGAGTGAAGCTTCCCCTACCACCGATGCACAACTGAGGTTACATTCACTGCCATCAATATTCTAGTAGTGTGATAGTGGCTTTGTCTCTAGTTTGCCAGTCACAGTTAAGTGACCAACTTTGAGAGAAGTTCTTAGCTCTGTAGCTCTGCAGGGAAGAGGGCACAGAGGAGAGATGCTTAACAGGCTCTCTTCATAGGACGCTGCTAGGTTGTGCTGGGACCCACTTAGCTGTTAGGTGTGGTGGGCTGATGGGCCCCATCCATCCACCTGTCCCAGCATCTACTGGGAACCACTGCACACCTGACCTAAACTGGCTATAGGACTGTGTTCCTTTTCCATAAATTATAGAAGCTCCACCATGACAAACCCCTAAGACCCTTCAAGTGAGAGGAGTGCCCCTCTAGGCAGGAAATTACACACTTATCTGTCGCTGATAAAAATAAAATGTTTTCTCCTCAAAACAGCATCAACACTGAATCTTGTCGATATCTCCGTTAACTAAAGTAATAACATTTTGTTTATTTTCGATCACTTACTATGGCATCTGCTAGGCTAAATGTTTTAGCTACCCTGACTCAATAAATCTTTGGTATCATCTTACAAAGTGGGTAAACAGAGGCTCAGAGAGCTGGCTCAGTTACCCAGCAAATTGGAAAAATCACAATTTCTACAACAGATTTGGAAGATTCGAAAGTATCTACATGGCTGAATTTTGTTGTAACACAGGAGTAGGCAGAGCCCACCCTGAGGGGTTCCTGAAGACAAAAAGGGGTACCTCATTCAGGGTGTTGGGGCACAGAGCACTCTGCCCTGAGAGCCTGGGTAGTCTTCATCATCAATGCGCCCCTGCCAGGTTTACAGTGGGTGGACTCCAGGGGAAGGATGTGCCAGGTTCTGGGGAATCACTCGCTGTTTTCCCCTCTGCTATCTGCCACTGATGTTCAGATGTCAGTCTGCTTTGGACAAGTGCACAGAATGGTCTGGGCGCCTACAGCCGCCACAAGCTTGAGCTCGCTGGAGCCACCCTCAGAGGAGAGCGCTGCCAGGTGGCTTTCTTGCCGCCTGGCTCCTGACCCTGGCTGCTGCCCAGAGTGATTTAACCCGAGTCTGTGCCCGCCTTGCCAAATTGCTGGAGAAGAGACAAGCACAGCACTTGGCGTAGCCCACCCACGCAGGGCACCCACCACAACGCGTGCCACACTGCCTCAGCATGCCCAGCCAGGTGCCCGGCTCCTGGCAGATGCCTGCAGCACAGAGCAGGCAAGCCTGCAGGAGAGTGGGTTCATGTTCAAAAAAAGATGATATTGCGTGCAGATCAAATGCTTTAATCTGGGCTCTGGTGTTCCAGAAATAACAATAATAGCTCATGCTCTATAGCACTTTCTATAACCTTTTATATAAAGAAGGAAATTTAACCCTCACAACATCACCAAGCAATAGATCCTATTATTAGCTCTATTTTACAGGTAAGGAAACCAAGGCACAGGACAAAATGAGAGATGTGAGATCTCACACAGCTAGGATACACTGAACCCAAACCATCCAGCCAATGCAAACCTATTTACTCAAGACCCAGCAGTAACAAGTAAGAGATAGCCCTGAGCTTGGCACTGTCAAGAGCCCACTTTGTAGGTGAGAAGACTAACGCTTAAAGAAGCTCAGACAAGCTCCAGGCCACGCAGCATTTGAAGCCAAGCTCAGCACTGGCCATAATCATACTGCGCCTGTTTTCTGCTTTGTAAAATTTGACATCCCTACTTCCACCACCCAGTTCTGCAGAGGATGATACCTCAAAAAGTCAAATCCTAGAGACACAGTGAGCTGCCCAGGGACAAGATTAAAGAGAGGTCCTGTGGTTCTGTGGGAGAAGCTCAGCAGATGCTAAATTCTCTGAGGAGTAATGGTTTTCTGCTCTGGAGAAGCAATGATGAGGTCACATCCTGCAGCAGAGTTGAGGGCGGGGCAGTGTAGTCACTTGGGATGGGGCACCCTGACTCTCTCAATGGCTGTGGCCAGCACTTCCATCACCCCACTGGGGGGATCCTCCCTGAGAGCCCTTTCTGATTAACCCAGAGTCCACCATCAGGGCCAGGCACATCCTGGAAAAGCACATTCTGTATCATACAGTCGTTTTACATTCGGAAAACAACACTCCCTCCACAAACACAACACACACTGTTTTCACTTCCCGAGTCACAGTAGGAGAACAGGACCTTCTTGGCCAAAGCTAGGGTAGCTTAAAAGGCCACAACCCGCAGAGGGAGCTGGCAGAAGGTAGAAGGTGCACAACTTCCCCAGAGCCTATGCTATGTACTTGCACCCCACAAGGCTCCCAGCGGCCAAACCACCCAGGGAGTCCCTGCTGGAGGCTCCTGCACCAAGAAAGGAAGAGCGTCATGCATGTGCTCATGTGCAATGTCATGTGTGCTCGCAAATGTGTACACCTGTGCTCTCACGCAGCACTGCATGTCCACACCTGGCACACTCACACAACACACACAACACTCTTACATGCAACGTGCACGCATAAGTTCCCCATAACATCTTCCCCATGTATGTTCACATGTATAGACACACAAATACACACACACACACATGCACACTCATATTCACATGCACATTCTCTGACATGTACGTAAAGAAGAAGGATGCCTGCCCACTCACAGACCCACAGTTACACACTCCTGTGTCCTTTAAGGTGCACACACACATCTACACACACAAGACTCTCAGAGCTCTAGATCCACACCCAGCCACACCCTCAGCCACCTCCCAAAGATGCACACAGAGAGACATCAAAGCATACAATCCAGCAACAAATATAGATGAAGATCCACACCCGGTCTTCCATTGGGCTGACTCTCAAAGCTGTAATGATCCACAGAAAAACGTGAGGAAAGCCACATGTGTCACACACAGTGGGCTGGATGCACACACAGACACAAGGACATACAAACACAGAGTCACCACTCCTGAACTCACCCGGGGCAGCACCAGCCCTCCCAGAGAGGTCTGAAGCCCTCTGCAGCATCCACTGGGCCCGGCCAGGCAGCCAGAGCCACTGCAAGGCTGTCAGCACACCACCGGCTCAAGAAAAGTGTATGTGCAAAAATAAAAATGAAAGGCTGTGATAAAGCCGTCCCTTCCCACAGGACTCTGAGCTGACGCAGGTTCTGCTCTGCAACAAACATTTCCATTCTAATTTTAAAAGACATTAGCATTACCTCTTTGGCTCTCAATCCAGCCAGACGGTACCTCGCCTCTCACGCTGCCCACCAGCCACATTGGGTACTGAGGGGACACAGGCGCCTTACACCAGGCACTGACCCAGGGCCATTGGGGTCTGATTTTGTACCATTCCCAGGGGTCCTGGACTTAGAACCTCACAAAACGACTGGGTAGTTGGAGAGCCTAAAACTCCCAAATCTGGCAGAGAGACATCCCTCACCTCCCCACAAGGCAGCATCTGGCCTGTCTCATCCCAGCTAGGACCCTGTGGATCCAATCCTGCTTGCCCTTGTGAGCACCACACATAAGGAAGGTGGCTTCCAAGTGGCAGATCTGCCCCCAACAAATCAGGGAAGAGAGCATGAGTTCCATTCTTTACTCCCACTCCAACATGCCTGGCTTGCAAACCTGTCTCACCTGATACCTCTCAGCAGTACCCAGCCTGGATTCCCACACTTAGCCAGGCGTCAGGGGAAAAGGGAAACCACACAAGGTCAGGGAAAGCAAAGTGAGCTGTCCCCATGAGCCCTGAGGTCCTGGGACCCCAAAATGCTCCCCAGCTCTCACCACGCCCTGTGAGGCAGAAGTCTTAGAACCTCTCAACATGCTCTCCTCAAAGTCCACCTTTGACCTCTGCCAAAGGGTTCCTTCTTCCTTGAACACTCTCTTGGCCACTCATCGGCTCTGAGCTTCCAAGTCACTACATGTCACACTGCTGGGGTTCTGCGACCTCATGCTGAATGGGCAGCCCATGAAGCCCCTGCATTCACTGAGCCCTGTAATGTAGGTGCCTTCTGCAGGAAGTGGCCTCCTCCCGCTCTGGCTCTCCTCAGCTCCTGGCTCAGGGGATAGCTCTTCCCAGGAAGGTCCTATCTATCTTGTCTTGTTCCTGGTCTGTCCTTGCCTGGGGACTCTGGGAGGGCCGGGAGCAGCCTGAGAGTCTGGCGAATGAATAAGGGAATAGCCAGGCCGTGCAGGCCCAGGTCTCCTCCCTCCTATGTGATTCTGGCTCTTCCTCCACTGGGCTTGCACAGAAACATCAGGAAAGGGAAACCCAGGCAAGTCCTGGTTAGAGAAAGGGAGGGGACAGTGGCTCCCTGCTCCTGTCTGCAAGGCTGTGGGGCTGGGGGCACAGGAGGACCCCCTAGCTATTCCCAAGTATGAACACATTACTACTATATTGCCAAGTGGGGTGGAAGAAAGAAATGTCAGCAGATGGTTCCCAGCAGCCTCCATTTCTCCCTTGAAGTGTGCCTTTAAAATGTCCCCAGCTTAGCCCTCCCCTGGGGAGTCCCTGTGCTATACTGGCCTGGATCCCTTGTTCACAGGCCTGGGTGAGAACAGTATCTCCTATCTCCCTACTCTGGTCTTGTCCCCAAAACCTCCTCTCTATCAATCTGAAACCTTCTTGCAAAAAGCAAGTGCAAACTATCACTACTACCCCCAGCTTAAATCCTTTATGGCTTCCTATAGTTCATGGAATTAAACACCCAAATCATCATTCTCAGCCTCGGGAAGGTCAGACTTTGTATGGTGGTGCAGGGGCCTGGCCTGGCCTGTTCTGATGTCCACCAACCACTCCATACTAACCTTGGTCCTACTAAAATGACTTCCGGTTCCCCAGATCCTCTCTGTGCCAATGTCCATGTTGTTACTGGCATCTGATTCTGTTCCTACATATAATACAGCACTCCGATTCCTACCTGGCAAATCTGTCTTTCGAGACCCTCTGCAAACAATTTCTCTGCAGCTCCTTCCCAGTTTCTGGCTCTGAGCACCTGCCAAGGGTGGTGCCCACTGCTAGCCTGCAATGTAACCAGTGGTCTTCTCTCCCTAGTGATCCCCTTGAGAGAAGAAACCCATCTTATTTATCTAGGGCCCACCCAGATCTGGCCCAGGGTAGACACATTAATATGTATTAGTTATTGCTGCTATGATTAATATAATTTTTAAGCTCCCTCTGCTGCTGGTCCCTTGCTCTCAGCTCTCAGCTTAGTTTGTTTTTCATAAATAAAACCAAAATGAATGATCCAGGCTCCCTGGCTTCCTCCCCAGCTTTCGAGCTACAGCTTGGAGCAGAGAGGCCTGGGGGACCAGCAGATGGGCAATGAAGGGAAGCTGCACCTCAGAAATGAAAGTGGAAGCAGGGCAGATGCAGGACCTGAGTATCTGAGACCCCCTTACTCAGCTCAGAACAATAGGGCCCTTGCTGCAAGGCCACACATGGTGGGCTTGGGGAACACACACATATCTATGAAGTCCCCATCATGTTTTTGGAGCAGATCTGCTATCAGAAATCAGGACACGGGGCTGGCATGAGAAGAAGGCAGGGAGGAAACCCTGGGCCCTGCCAAGTGTGGGCAAGACTCTCTTAGGATTTAATGCTTGCTAATCTGAAAACAGGCGCACCCCATGAGGCTGTGATCTTTACTGCCCTGCAACTTCTGGCCACCTCCATGTAGAAAGCTACCAGGTACTAAGCAGAGGAAAAGCACAGGTGACAGGAGTATCATGAAGCTTTGGGCAAGTGACTGCTTCTTGGAACCTGTTTCCTCACATAGAGAAGGAGCACAGATCATAAGAGCTTCCAAAATTCCACATGCGGAGCAGCAGCTCAGCGCATGGACTCCCACTCTGCTCCATGCATGTGACCACTACGACAACGATTTGAAAAAACCTGGGCTGTCACTCACCCATGAGCCACTCGGCTCAGGCTTGGCCAAGCCCCCAGCGCTGCCTCCTGCCCCCAGACCCACCACCTCCTGGCCTTGGTGTTGCCTGGGCCCTTGCTGGAGAAAGCTCTGGCTGGCCCGGGGTCCTGTGAGCTCAGAGACGCTCACAGCTGGCACCAAGCTGAGTGAAGAGAGCGGCCCTGATGCTGAGGGCTCACCCCAGGCCCATCAGCGCCAAATGCTTAGACCCTGTGGCTTCGAGATATGCCAGAGGGAGTACTGGTATCAAAGGCAGACAAAATGGACAGAGGCTGTGGGTTTCCCGTGGGTGGTGCAGAGTAAAAGAGGTAAAGTTAATAACCGCAATATGATAATAACAGTTGTAATATTAACAGCAGTTACTTAGTGAACATAGCTCCGGCCTGACCTCAGAGTGCTGCCCCACACCCTCACTTACTCCTCACGCCAGCCCTTGAGGATGGCAGCACTGTTATCCTTATTTTACGTGCCAGGAAGTTGAGATTTAATATGGTGAGATAATTTCCCCCTTTTCTCCATTTTATAGACCAAGAAACAAAACATAAAGAGAGGGCAGGATACTAGCCTCAGGACACACAGCAAGCAACAGACCCGAAGTTGACTCTAACTTACTCTGACCTTCATTTGCTTCACTACTGCTATCTTCTCTCTGGGAAAACCCACAGCCAGTCATTCAACAATGACTGAGCCTGTTAGAAAAGCCAGGCACCATTTGGTGCTGGGGAGACTGAGTCAAAGGTGAAGAGTCCTTGGGCTCTTGTGGCTGAATGTCTAAAAGGGGAAGACTAAACATCGAAGAAAGTTCCATCACTCAAGGTGACGAGGACTACCCAGGGAACTAAGGTAGGATACTTCCTCTCAGAGGCCAAGAGTGGTCTCCTAGTTAAACAAGACAGATGCCACGCTGCAAGACACATGCAGTACAACAGACACGGCAGACGTGCATCAGTCCTCTTGCTTAAGAAGGTGGCTGCCACCAGCAGCTGGGCACTGCTGCAATGAGGGTGCAGAGAAGATACACAGACCGCAGCCGTGTCCCCAACCCTTCCACTTTCAGGTAGTGACGGAAGTTACTTACCTGGCAGGAAAGCCAGGCTTCCAGTGCCACTCTGACCTCCTCCACCAGCTTCAAGTCCCTGCAATTCTCCTGACCTTCGGCCACAAGGAAGTGGCTCGGGCTGCTCACATAGGGCCAGCCTCGGCCTCTGTGTCTCCTTCATGCAGCTCTCAGAGCTATCGATTCTGCCACTGGAGCGGCCAGGATAATTTTGCTTAGCCTCAAATACCTGGTTCTCATGAATCCCTCAGCCAGAAGGTAAGAAAGCTTCCTTCAGGACACAGGGGGACGATGAAGCCCACTCGTGGTTAATACTACACTGTACCCTGTGCATCAAGCTGCCTGTCTGCTGCGGAGAGTCCACCATAAGATGCTTATTTAAACAGCCTCGCAAGGCTGCTGAAGAAAGTGCAGTTATGCATTTTCCCCTCCTTGCTGGTTCCAACGACTATAGATAAACATCAATTCGCTCCTGCGGATCACAGTCACAGTAAATAAATTTTTCAGGAAGCTTGAGATCCGCACAAAGGCTCCGCCAAGCTCCCATTTCACACAACATCAATGTTTGGCCTCTAAGAAATAAAAGCTCTAAGGTGGCCATCGCCAGGGCAAAATTATCAATTGTCAAGTCACTTTTAAAAGAGAAAGATGAGCATTTCTGAGAGATAGTTCCTCCCATGGCTTGAAAAATAAAAGGTAGATGGACAATCACTTCGCCTACAAAGTAACCACAATGACTTGCTCCTAAGTGCACAAATGCGTGTCCCCCACTTTCCCAGCCTGGGACCAGCTGTCCCTGGGGGACTAAAGCAGTCCTCGCAAGGCTGACTCCAGTGACTTCGGAGTCTCAGGCGTTGAGTTATTTTTACTTTCTCAAAGTAGGGTTTTTTCACTACTTTTAGAAGTGGCAGACGAGGCTTGTCTATTATAAAATATTTGTTGCAAACACACACACACAGGCACACACACATACTTGGTTGCTCACCACCCCACACACAGTCTGTAAAAATCTCAAGTCACAGTGGTGCGAGGGACAGGAGATGAGAAAGCTGAGACCCCTCAAGGTGAGCAGGCTTTATGTAACTCCCTAGCCTCAGACTCAGCCAGGTGCTACTGCAATGATTCTGCTATGCTGAGAACCTCAGTACAGGTTGCTTCATGGGTGGGGAAACTGAGGCATGCAGGAGGCTAAGGCAGGGAGAAGTACCTACACTTGGATATCAATGCGGCCACCTTCCTGCCACATGACCTTGGGAAGGTAACTTCAGGCTTGGGCAGGCTTCCTATCTGCAAAACAATGACAGTGGACTCCCCTCACAGGGTCCCTGCAAGATGAGCCCCCACATTTGGATTTGTTGGGTGTTATTACTAAAGGGCTCAAAGTCTCCAAGCAATCATTGGCAGGACCAGGGAGCAGCAGCACCACTGTTCTTGAAGTCTCAGGTCTAGCCAGGATTCTAGGCCTGTCACTGCGAGTGCTGGCACCTCCCCAAAGCCCAGATTCTTTGCCAACATGGCCATCTCTGGCATTAAAGTCCATCTAGACATCTTC